GGGGGGGAGTCGAGTTCGAGCTCGAATTCGAATACGGCGAGGCCCGGTGGGGGTTCGAATTCGAATTGGAGTTCGCGTTCAAGAGAGTTAACTGGTGCAACGAGGACCCTCTCGGTGGGCGCGGCTCGTCTTGATGCTGCCACCTGGAACGCGTTGGAAATTCTGGGCATAGGCGCCGACACTCTCGCTGTTTGCTGCGTGTCGTAGTCGAGCGTCCTTGAAATTCTGGGCGCAAGTGGCGACCCTCTCGCTGTTTACTGCGCGTCGTAACGCTGGCGTGTCGAGCGTCCTCGAGATTCTGCGCGTAGGCGACGAACCCCTTGGTGTTCACAGCGCATCGTGACGCTGCCGCATGGAGCATCCTAGAAATTCTGAGCGGAACCGACGACCGTCCCGCTGTTCTCGGTGCGCAGGAGCGCTGGCACGTGAAGCGTCCTCAGAATTCTGTTCAGAATGGACGACCCTCTTGCTGTTTTCGGCGCCTGCGAGTGCTGGCACCTGGAGTGTGCTCAGAATTCTCTTCGGAGTCGACGACACTCTCTGTGTTGTGGGCGCATGTGAGCACTCAAGCTGGATTGAGGCGTGGTTTTTGTTGCCAGGGGGAGAGTTATTTCGAGTTTGAGTGCGAGATAGTGCGAGTTCGAGAGGGTGGAGCCTTTGTAAGGGGTGGTCGACTTGCGCTTCGAATTTGAATTCGATAAAGCCGATTTTTGTGCGAGGGGTGGTAGTTCGAATTCAAGAGGATGGAAAGGACTAAGGGGCGGTCGAGTTCGAGTGGACGAGGCGTCGTTCGAATGAGTTCGATTTCGAGAAAACCGAGAGGTCGGGAGGTCGTCGATTTGGAGTTCGTGTTCGAGTTCGAGCGAATGGAGCGGCCGCTGGCTGGGGGAACAATTCAAATTCAAGTTCAAGGTTGATTTCATTTTTTTGCCAGGGGGGTTAGTTCAAGTTCCAGTTCGATTGGGGTTCGCAATGTTGCCAGCGGTTTCAAGCCTGCTGCCAAGCAGCTTGAATTCTGACATGCTTTTTTACACTGCCTCCGATTCCTACATAGATCAGGCCAGATGCCTTTTGCGCTTTGCTCACGGGCACGTCTGCCAGTTTCTGGGACACTGCATCCATGACCAGCCTGACGTTCGGATTGCTGAGATCGACCTCAAGCTCAGCTTGGCCAACTTCAAGCATACAGTTGCACAGAGTCGTGCAGACACAGCAGCTCTGAATCCATTTGTCCAAGCTGCCGCCTCTGGCTGCTCTGTTGTGGTAGACAACAACCCAGCCGCTGACAGAACGTCTGCGACGGCTTTCCTCAGCAGGCACAAGGTGTCATGTTGCCGGACATGGCTGCTATGTGGGTTGTTGTAATATTCTTGATGCGGCCAGGAATCTGGTTCTCAGGGGTCTCTGCAGAAGCTGCGTCTGCCACGGCAGCTTTGTCTTCAGGTGATAAGTCTGAACCTTCCAGACAGCGGCTCACGCAAAAAAGAATCATCTGCGGGATGCTGTCGGCAAAACTTGCATCTGTGTGCCTGCCAAAGCTTTGCCCACGATACTCATGGGCGCCATCGTCGTCAAACCCTGAAGTGCTTTTAGAGCTGCTGGCACCGCGCTTTCCTTGGCTCAGGGTGCAAGTTTTCTCAGCTGAGTTCTCAGTTCTTGGCTTCCTGAAAGGATAGCTGCATTAGCCAAATCACAGCAGCAACCACCGCTTGCTGCTGAACAGTGAAGCCAGCATCTCCAGTGGCTGCCACAACTGCAGCCACCTTCGCTTCAGGAGATTCCGTGGGCGTTGAAGCTGCTTTGGCAGAAGCTGCCGCCGTCCAAGCATTGAGAACGTTGTCCCAGTGATCTGGGTGGATCGACTGCAATGCAGAGGAAACGCTTGCAACCTGACCAGGCCAGTCCCCAAAAGAAAACTGCACTTCTTGTACCTGGACCGGCCTGCGCATCATTCAAGCCGATGGCTGCTGCCGCTTGTGCTAGTTTGCTGAGGGAGTCAGCAGAAGCCGTGGATTCCGCTGCAGCCTTGCTTGCAGCAGAAACTGCAGCAGCGGTTGCGGCAGTAGCAGCCGTGTCCAGGCCATTGGCTTGAGATGCCTGCACAACTGCCTCGGCCACCTTAGTGGCCGAGGCAGGCTCCTGAGCCACAGGAACAACATCCAGTGTGGTGGTGGTGTCGGCCACCACGACCGGCACAACTTGAGGTGCCGCGACTTGAGGTGCTGCTTGCACTTCAAACGGTTTGGAGTCGCTGGCTGGGGCAGCTTGCTGCGATGCAGGCAATGCCACTGCGGCTTCTGGAAGGGTGCGATTCCCCAGCAAAGCCATGGCTGACAACCTGATCACTGTTGGACAGCCATTCTGATAGCATGAGGCACGCCAAGGCCTGGATACGATGAATGGTCCGACCAGTATCCCGCGCTCCTTAGGCGTCGCATAGTCTGCCTGCCGGAAGGCAGCTATTACCAACTTCTTGCGATATGCCTCCCAGTCTTGCATGGCCTTTGTGTTGAGCATGTACCAATCTGCTCCATCCATGGAGCCTTCCAGTTGAAAGTCAACTGGGTCAGTTCCTGGGGTCTCCTGACAGCATGACACAGCCCCTGGCGCCCATGTTTTCTCCAACGAAGCTGCCGCAACAAGTCCTCCTCACTAGACGTTTTGAAGCCAAAGCCACCGACCAACACTCCCGGCCGAACTTTGACCACGATGTATTGCTCCGGAGATAAGAGCACGCCTTGCAGCAGAACAATCCACCATCTCATGGTTGCTGGCAGCTTAAGGACACGCCTTTGAACTATCCTAGCAGCTCAAATGAAAACCTCCGGGAAAAGATGTTTTGAAGAGACTCAGGGCAACACTTGTCGAAGTGTCATCGTCTATGCATTTCAAGGGGTCGTCCATTCCAATGTTGGTCTCAGACACTGCCTCAGAATCTTGAGCCGGTTGAAAGGTTGCCGGTCATCATCTAGGCCACGCCACCCCTTTTGCACATCCGAGTCTCATTACCGATGGCAACTTCAGACACTATCTTTGGGTCCTTCAAAGTCATTGCCTGCAGGAAGACAACTGGCTCTCATCTCAATGCTCGTGTCTGCTCATGTCTGCCAGTGTCTGGTCGCATTGCCTGCGCTGTGTCGTCTGCCAAGACCAGCTCTGAGATGCGCGAGCTGGCAACTCCTCAAAGTGCAGTTTGGCCCAGCACAAGAAAGATGACCATGGCGCAGGGTGATATAGACAGCATGAGAAACGGTTGGCCTTCACGCGTCTTTGACACTGTGAATTTGTACCTTTGCTCAGACATGATGCCGGCAAAACCAAGATGCTGTGTTGCGGCCAAGTGACTGCTGAAATGCCAGTGGCACCTTTGAGGAGGAAAGCACAGCTTTCAACACGCTTTTCGGTCTCTGCTGCGAAGGCACTGTCGCTGCAGCCTGGGCTTCCTGAGATGTGCTTCACTCATAGCCCTGAGGGAGGGTGGTCTGGTGGCTTGGTGCATGCGGCACTGTGGTCATAGTAACACTCGAGCTAGCAAAGTATGAAAAGAGCTCTCATGACAAGGCCCAAACTAATCCTGCAGCTTGCAGCCTTCAGGCTCCAATTCAGCTCTCTTTTCAAATCCAAGGTACTCGTCGGGCCTCTTTGCGGAGCAGCTCCCGGCGTGGAGCCAGGGGGCTCTGAGCGAATGCCTGACAAGCTTGCTGGCTCTGAAGTGCAACAAATGACGCCTATTCAGCAACGCTGGGTCCAACCAGGCGACGCAGAAACCCCCCAAGCGCCGAGCGCCGAGGGTCGTCAAGCAACGCCCAAGCCCGAGCACCGAGCGACACCCAGCGATGCCAAGCAACAGCGAGCGACGCCGATTCACGCACGGTGACGCCATCAGGCGTTGAGCACCAAGCAATGCCCTGAGCGACGCGAAGCGGGCAAGCAATGCTATGCCATGCCGAGCGACGCCAACAAGCGATGCCGAGCCAAGCAACGCCAAGTTTCTCTCGGTTTCTTGGTCTCTCAATTGCCTGGCCTCGCTCAGATGTACGCTTTGTGCAGATTTTCACGCAAGCGCGCCAACCTTGCAATCGCGACTTTTTGGGGGTTTTCGGAGACAAAGCCTTCCAATACCTTTGATGCATGGGATTCTGCTTCTACAGGGCTGTGTAGCAATGGCTGCAAGCAGCCTTCAGCAGTCAGCCCCTCACACAACTGCTCAAAGCAAGCTCAACATGTCTTTCAGCTGCTGCAGCCGGTTGAGTAGACAAATGACGGATTTTTTCCAGGCATTTGACTGGGTGTGTCTGCTGACGTGGGTGCATCTTGTCAACTGTTACGAGCCACACGGAAGACATCGCAGTTTGCGCAGTTCGCCTTTGATCTTTGCTGATGCGTAAGCTGATAGCTTATAGCTTCACAGGAGGCGCAATTTATCTTCATCATGTCCAGAGACCAGGTTGCACAGGACTTGTGCTGCCCGCTGGAGACACCCGGCCTTCATCTCAAGGTGCGCGGCACCTGTTTGGCACTTGGCAGCACTGATTCCATTTCGACTACTGCCCATGGTGCCTCCATGGACTTCCTGGAGCCAGAGCAAACCTTAGAGATCTCAACAGCTGGGAGCACCTGGCTTATCAAACACAAGCCTCGCCAATGCTGGGCATCTGGCCGAAAAAGACCACTGACAAGAGGGATGTTTGCCTTGGTTTGGAGGCTGATGCTCTGGACACCAACTGCACCCAACGAATGAGTCACTAAGGCCAGCGACGCCACACCACCAGCCATGGCAGACTATATGTAGAACGTGGCCGACTGAAAAGATTTGTCGGCCGCGGTTGGCAGAAATTCTAGTTTATGAAGCTGTACAGCTGCGGCATGGCGTCAAATAGCAGCTAAATCTTGGCTGCAAAGATCGTAAAGATGCTTGGCAGCGAATCTATCACAGAGCTAGGAACTGCAGGTATCTCCGGCATTTGAACGGTCAGGGATAGGGCTGCTGAGAAAGCAACCTTGCAGTATCTGCAGCTCGATCGACTGCATCTTCCTTGGGTTACAAATGGATGAAGAAGCACATCACGTAAAGATTTGCAAGTCCTGGCGCTGCAAATGACCGACAGATGCCCATTTTTCAGAAGGAAAATCTGGCGGAACTCTCGGTCCATCTGACAGTCTTTGGCCAGGCAAAACAAGCGTAGAAGGGATGTGCCGGATCTAGCCAACAGGGGTCTGATCACGGTCAGCCCTTCGGAACTAGGCTGGTGAACTTCGAGTCAGGAACAAAGCTCGTGTTCACTGCCCTTCCTCCTCGGCTTCATGGTATGCCAAGTGCAGCTCCTGGATAAGAGAAAATGCCGCAAATAAAGCATGAACATGCAGCCATGCAGGTGAACCTGGTTGATGTACCAGGTTGTGATAGCACATCTGTCGCCTGGAAGCTCAGAAAGCTCAGGTGGTATCGGAGCTCTCTTCTCAACGGCGGGAACTGGCAATGCGGAGAAAGCAGAGAAACTTCTGAGTGACCAGCGCCGGGTCCTCCGCACCTCGTGCGGCACAGAAGAGTCACTGAAGAAGGCGACTAAACCTGAGCAGAAAAGAAAGCAAGACAACCAACACAGCATGGTTGCTCTGCTGCTCAAGGAACGATTCATCACCGGAGCCACATCAACTTTGATTTGCTGCTGGTCCTCCTCAAACCTCAGGATACTTGGTTGCAACTGAACATCTTGGCCAAACAGGCCCGGTCATGTGTTGCAACAAATCGAGAGCTGGGCAATCGAATCTCACCACCGTCTCGTTCTACATCCCAGTCTTCATTCAAGTAGAAAGTGCAGGTCAGCAATCCTCATTATACGGGCTTGGCATGGCTCAAAGGCAAGAAATGCCTGATAGGCATCAATGTTGTGCAAGCACGGAGCTTCCATTGCTGCCATCTTCATTATCCACATGTCTGATGTATCTTGCATCATCCTGAGAAACATTGAAAAGCATACATAGCATCAACATGCTTCTTCATTTCCTATCCTGCGTGTCACACCACGTGGAGATTGGCAAGCTTCAGTTGAGATGCCGGCAAGAGGCATTCTCAAGGCTGCCGGGGAACACAGCGAACTGCGCATCTGACAAAGCCGTGATGCCCTGCATCCGTGCTTGAATTTTAGCCTCACGTGCAGCAATGCGCACACACTCTCTCATGCGAGAGACACTGGACTGCGCGTCCTCGGGGATGTCCATCATGAGGCTGACAAGCATGTTCGTGTGCTCTACCAACGGGCCTTAGATGTCATTGAACAGGCACCATACACTCACGCGAAAACACCTGCATGCAAGGAACCGAGCTCTGGAACTTCCGCCGGCTTGAGCCACATAACCCTCAGATGCGGCAGACAAGCTCTGTAAATAGCCATGATTCTATGTTGCAATGCAAGCGCATCAACATCTTGCAGGTTTACCTGCATGGTGTCCTATGTGGGGAGTGCACGCATCTGTCACATGCCCCATTGCATAGAAGTGTTTCTTTAGTCTGCCGGGTGGCTTGTCCCCGCGACCTGCAGCAGACAGAACGAGAGATTGCACCAAGTGTCCGTCCCACTGCAAGAACTTGCCGGATGCACCATAAGCGGACAGCTCCGAGTCCGTCATGCCTGAAACACGCTGGCTTGCGCCAGCACTCAGGCTTGCTTCTGGTTGAAATGCTGCAGTTTTGTGGAGTCGCCCTCGCTAAAAAACCTGCGGGGATCGGCAGGCCGCTTGTGAGCGAAAATGAATGTTTTAATAGTCTTCTCATGCTGGTTTTATGGTGATTGATGTATATTTGCGGTGGTCATCGTCCGAACCCATGCGTGTTTTGGGATTGTGTTGCGCAGCAAAAGTCCGTGGGTGGTGGCAGCAAACGACTTTCTGGAGATTCCTGCTGTGGTTTCGTGCTCATGTCTAGACGCAATGTCGTTCAGTGGTCTGCAGACTCGGGCGCCATTGTGCAATGGTAGCATTCCTCTTTTGCCGCGGATTTGCTACATTGCTCAAAGTACATTCAGTTCTTACTGCGGCTTCGTAATGGGTATTGATTGATGGGAGGCTTAGAGTGCCAGGATTTGCTGCTCATCAGAGAGGGATTGTGGGATGTTAGAGGTATTTGGGTTACAGTACCGCATGATCCCACAATCCCTGCCAGACCACGAAATCCAACACATGAAGATATGAAATGCACGCTAGTAGGGGTCACCCCCCGGCACAACGTGAAATTATGGGCTGGAAGCTCCAAATGCCAGGTGACTATCGAGCGCGGTAGCTTGAACCATCATTGTGGATATCTAGTGTCCTTCATCCGGAGTGGTGGCCTGCTCCAAAAGATCGAAAATGCTGGATTGGCAGGTGTTAATCAAAAACTGATCCCAAAATGCTGCCCCCTTCAAGTGTAGCGAATTAAATAAATCAACATCTAAGGTTGGTGGCGGTGGTGTGGCGTGGTGCAAAAAGTACGTAGAGCTGATAGTTGCAGGGCTGAAGAAGCTATAGACTCAGAGGACAGGTCTTTGCGTTGGTGTCGATCCCAAGATTAATTTTCACCCTCGCAACCACCACTACCACCACCACCGTTGCCGCCACCACCACCACCACCACCACCACCACCACCACCGCCATCACCACCACCAGCACCATAATGAATTAAAGCGATAACTCCTAAGGGCAAACTGGATGACGAAAGCTACCAGAGCCCAGCCTATGTCATGTGTTGACAGTACATGCTGACATGAGCACCCCTGAATGCTTGAAACATCAAGACTAACGATCACTTTCCTAACGAGGAAAGGTGCGAAAGCCTCTTGCTGCTGTTGCTGCCGCTGGTCCCCCTCCGATACCTACCACTTATGCCACCACCACTACCGCTACCACCACTCCTGGTCCACCTGGTCCTAGTCGTACAGCATAACCCAACTCAGCAAGGTGGGCCCTAGAGACTTTCTCGAGACAAGTGCAGATGGAGTTGGCAATGCATTTGTAAAGGCGCCTGGTTGCATCTGCGGCCTCAGCTTGTCCAGGGCCTTTGCAATCGTTCTTGCCTCTGCGATGGGGATGAAGTCGTCCTCCCAAAAGAGACTTGTACGAAAGCTTGGCGAGGCAGGGTCACTGGCAACGTCTAGTCCAGGACCAAGAAGTCTTCATTCTCCAGCGCCTCGTTCAAGGTTTCTGCGCGGAGTCTGCACGTACTGTGCCAAATCATACCAAAACTGTGTGACACCTTGATCCAGATGCGACCTGCGTCCGGGGTCGCCCACCAAGCCTGCAGCCAGCTACTTGTGGGTCAGGGCTATCTGATCTGATGGCACAAGGAACATGCTGAGCTGGGGACACCTTCCCTGTTGGAAAAGCTGCTGCGGACTCGGTCCAAGGGTTGAAACACCGTGTCCTGTCACAGCACCGATTGTGGCAGGCAAAGGGCAAGGAGCGCTTCCACTGAGACAGCGGCTGCCAAGCGCTTTCGGGTCTTTGCACTCGGAGGCCTCACTGTCTGCCTCGCCGTGGCTTGCTAAGGATAGCCTCTTTTCCAGCTGCACACGAACTCTCTGCCATGGCAATGCAAGGCATGCTGAGCTGCCAGTAGTCGATCTCATACCTCAGCAAGGACGGAAACTCACCAGAAGGGCTACTCCGATCCGTCCGAGCCAGTCGCTGCAGCATCCACTGCTCGCGCTCGCCATTCTTGAGGACTTCCCCAGTGGGCAATACCAAGAACAGGGAACCTGCCTGGCAGCTGACGCAAACGCATAGGCGCAGTCAGTCAGAACTCTGCCAGCCTCGGCTACGAGATCATCGACCCCCGAGTTCATGAACAGCTCAGACCAATGTGCATCTGCCTTCGCCAAAGCCTGCATCATCAAAATCAAGCCGTTTGAGCGCTGCTGGGCTTGTTGGGACCTCTTCTGCTGCAGGTGAACGTAGATCAACACTGCGGGCAGAGTCCAGCTTCAGAGAGTCGACCAATCTACAAGCAGAAACAACGTGATTTGCTGCCACACGAAAGGAACGGCATACTTTTTTGAGTCAAACACTTTGAGACGTCCGCGTTCTCGCCATCAAACAGAACGATTAATTGAGGCTCCTGGCAATGCTTTAGGTCTCCGGAGCTCTGAAGACACAGAAGTGCTTTTCCTGGTCAGCCTGGCTTTCTGCCTGTGCTGCAGAAGCCGGCTCGCTGGCTGCGGCTGGTGGCGGGGCGGCTCTGCGCAGACCCACTTTGCTATCCTTCTTGGGTGTGGCTTCCCTCGCGGGTGGGGGAGGGGTGGCCCTGGCTTTGACTTTTGTGGATGTTGCGGCCTCTGCAGCTTTCGGATCCGGGGGTGGCATGGCCCCTCGCTCTCCAAGTTTCGGCTTGGTTCTGGGAGCTTCCGATTCCGGCTTCTCGACCGTTGTCGACACACCTGTTTGATCAAAAAGTTCTTGTTGCAGAAAGTGATTTTTTCAAGAAGGCGAGGGGCCTGACTCGCTGACCGGCGCACTCACCTCCTCGCATGCCACATCAGGGATCCTGTGATAGTCGTCTGGGCTCCATCTCCCAGCCAAGGGGCATACAGTGGGATGCTCGGATTCTTCTCGTCATAGTACCACACAGTAGCGGCAAAGCCTGGGCTCATGAGCGCAGACTGGCCCTTCAGTTTGGGAAGTCTTCAAGCGCAAAAGCCTCACAAAACATCCTAAAGCATCCCGAAGCATCCAATCATATAAAAGGGTTGGCAGTTTGCACCAAATATTCTCCAAGCTGCGATCCTTGCAAGCCGAAAGCACTTCATGGGGGCTTCGGTCATCGGACCAAAAGAGAAGTAGTCGATTCCAAAGCGGCTCGATTTCCATGCGGACCTGGAAGCTGCCCCATTTGCTCATTGCCAGCGACACGGGTCCGGGCTCCTGACTTTCAAGTTCTTTTCACCTGGCGGTGGGCATGTATATAACCATCTTGCAAACCACTCCATGCTGCAAGAAAGCCTGGGTGAAATAGCCGAAGTTCACCGCCATCACCTTTCTGCCAGTTCTCCTGGTGGGGCAGGC